TACATTTGATTGCTTACATTACAACTATTACAGACTCATCGTTCACGTGGCTTTTGCTTCATTTACTTTGAGAATCTCGGTGACGCACGTGTTGCTAAGGATGCATGTACCGGAATGGATGTGGATGGCCGCCGTATACGCGTCGACTATTCGATAACACAACGTCCACACACTCCTACACCTGGTGTGTACATGGGACGTCCATCACGGTTTGTATATGCATATATCAAGGTGTAATTGTCATTACTTGATCTTTGTAAGCAGCCCACTGGTGAGACGTTCTCGTGACCGTGAATATGGCAATCGAGATAGCTATCGTCCTCGTCGTCGCCTTCGCGAAGGGTCATCGTCAGTATCGCCATCAAATCGTCGCAAGTATCGCAGCCGTCATCGCTACGAACGTAGTCGCAGTCGCACTCACAGCTACTCACGTTCGCGCTCTCCCCGCAAGCGTAAGTTGGTAGATGATTTTAAGTATAACAAAAAAATTACCTAATGTCTTTGCAGCTGCTCGCGTCCATTCGCGTTACTAATGTGCCAATGATTGTGTGCTGGTGACAAGATCACAAGCACAGCAAATGCAAGGGCCCAGCACGAGGATATAGACTGAATATTTTGTTATTAAATCCCTACACTTGTCCCAAAATTCGTTTGGCAGTATCACCTGTATAATTATTATTATATAGTTTCCATCCCGCCTAATCACAATTAGTTGATAGTTTGTCCATATCGCTGCATCCTGCTACGTTTTGTAGAACGTTGTCACCACATAGAAAGCATCCGTGTATACTACGCGTTCCATCCTCAAAACTTAACACGCGTAAAACACATTGTGATATGTATTTTAAAAGCAACTGCGTAAATTGATAACAATAAACTAATCACACTAACGAAATACTTTTTAATGTAAATTGAATTACATGTTAAATGTGCTGCACGTGTGCAATTTGTATTTAAATGCATTTGTTGGCAACCACACGCCGTTTTCATACACTGTTAATATTTTTATGGTAATTATACAATAAATTAAACAAAAAAAAATAAGAAAATCGGTTCACGTTTGCCTTTATATGACGACTCATATTTGTCATCTAGGAAAACATAAATCATGGATTCGCTGCTGCTGCTCCTGCAGCTGACGTCGCTGCAGTCCCAGTTGTGGCCTGCGTTGCTCGAGACGTCTTATATGCCAGCTCCAAAGTTTGCTGTATAACTTGCATATCTCCTTCAATGCTTCGCGCCCAGTTCTCCACATCTCCAAGTTCTTTCAGAGCGCTACTAAAGTTGTCAATTAATTGCAGCCATTGATGCGTTTGTTTGGCAAAGTTGGTAGCACCCACATGCAACTGTTTGGCTTCCACATCTAAGCGCTTTTGATTTAAGTATGCTTGCGCCACTCTATTTTATAATAAGTACAATGTGAGTATAATATAAGTAATTTTCTGCAAAGCTCTCTTACAATATGAGTATAATATAAGTCATTTTCTGCAAAGCTCTCTTACCCCACATTCAGATGGTCCACTAGTGCCTGGGTTAGTTCGTTGGAAGCTTCTATGGCCTCTTTGCGACGCACTTCTTGCTCCTGCTTGTGCTTTGATTGTTTAGAATGGTGCTCTTTAACCATTGAACTTAACATCTTGTACTAGAATTTCGATTTTGCTACAATTCTATATTCTGAAAAACAAGTTGTTTTGCTAGCTGACAGAGATGTCAATATTTCCTATAAAATCAGCTGTTCGCAAATCTATCGATTAAAAATACATTACAGCTAAAAGTATCGATTATTGGCTTAATAATGGAACCAGTATTTATTTAAACAAATGTTCATTTACAATTAGCATATTCTGGTTAACAATTCAAAGGCACCAGTGCCGTTTCGCACAGGTAAGCCAACCATTAGACGACTCGACGGTGAATTTAGCTCGTCAGGGCGACCAAAGCCAGCTGCGCTGCGCAGGAACTGCAAGCTCGACTCAAAGGACATTTGCTGTAGCGGCGATGAAGAGTGTTCCATGCCTCTACGTGAGAGCGGCTGGAAAGTGCCATCAAAGGTCATATAGTCGGCGATCAGTGACAAATGCCTGCGATCGACCGTAATTCCATAAACCTTGAACACATTGCTAACTTCTTTGACAATGACCTGGGTTGCAGCTTCGATGCCATATGTGCGTGCTATAGCATGAATATCGTTGGAATACAAACGATTAAGATCCAAGATTTTGTTGTGCTGGAACATTTCACCAATGTTAATGCCATCGGTTTTCAACAGTTGCTCATCGTCGTTGCCCTTGTAGATGATAGCGCGCTTTATATGCGGCACCTGATGTACAATACTCTTAGCGGCCAATTCGCGTATAATAGACGTCAGATCAGGCTTCTGGTAGCGCACACTGAGGTTAAGCTTTACTCGGCACCAAAGATGCTGATCTTTGTCGTAGGTATAATCCTGTACCATTTGATTGCTAAGTAGCTTTTCCACCGACTTGTCATCGACTTCATTATTTTCTTCATTTGCTTGTTCATTTCCGTCTCCATCCTCTTCATCGTGCTCGTCCTCGTCATCTACAAAATTAATATAACACATACATAATTGAAGGTATTTTAAAATGAATAAACTATATTTACCATTGGCATCTATAATTTCTTCGACATCATCCGGATCGTCATAGTCATTTTCGTCGGTCTTACGCTGCTTAAGCTTAATACCAGTTGCATCATCGTCACCCTAACACAGATAAATTGGTTACAATATTAAATTCTATTTGCATTTACAATAACATTTTTTGTACTCACTCCATCATCCGAAGAATCGTCATCATTGTCTGCTACTCTCTGTGCACCAACATCATCAGCAACATCCAACTCTTGATCATTGTCCTCGTCCTGTCTGTTGCCACCCTCCTTCTTCTCATCTACCACCACGCTGTGAAAATTTTAAAGTTAGTTATGAGTTTGCAGAAAATCAAATACTGACTTACATTTTTGAAGTCTTCTTGGCATTGGAGACCTTCAGAATAGCACGAATGAGCTGCTTGAAGAACGTCTGATGCATGTATTTGATAATACGCTTAGGCCT